CCGGCACGTGCACCCAGCGAACGAGCAGCCCGAGCAGCCCGAGAGACGCCCCCGGGGCGGGCACCAGGCGAAACTTCGGCACGCCTACCAGCGCACGAGGCACCCACGAGGCGCCCACGGGCGCCCACGCGCGAATACCAAGCGAAAGCTCGGCACACCCAAACAGCGCACGAGGCGCCCACAGGCGGCCACCAGCCCGGCTCAAGCCGCAAAAACAACGCACCCAGCCAATTAGCTTAAGGGGCCGAAGCAAGAACCGCTCAGTGCAAGCAGCACTTGGGGGGCGCAACTCCTGGAAGCATTGCGTGCGCCAATTTGGCCAAGACCCTATACTGAGATGCGAGCTTTGGGGGATAGGGGAACATCCCGCTGCGCGTTGGTGCGTTTTGGGCTGCACTACCCAAGAGCCGTTCTGCGTCCGTGCATCTGGCAGACTCGATCGCTGCAATCAAGCATTGATCTCTGAACCCCTCCCCACACTGCAACTGGCTGGCGCTGCGACGCCGACCCGTTGAACAAAAAAACGCGGGCCGCTGGGGGGGGTCAAAACTGAAACCACACTGCCCGAACACGGCACGGTCAGCAAACTGCGGAACAAAGCATGCTGTCTTCGAATGGCGGCTTTGTTTCCCACGAACAGGATGCACGGGCCCCAGTCAGCTGCGCCCCACGCACGGACGGCACCAATACCCAAGCGGGGCCCTGTCAGCAGCACTACCACCCCCTGGATTAAAAGTTGAAATCGGAGCTACACCGAAAGAACCGCATCCTGGTATTCGTCCGTCGTTCGGCTTTCGAGCCGCGACTTTCGATCGGGACTGGATCCTGGGAAGTCGATGGTCGCTGTTCGACCGGACCTCTATCCTCGACCCTCGAAGTATCTGGGGCCCTCGATCCTCGATCCTCGAGCCTCGATCGAACCTCGATCATGGATGTTCGATCGGCCAGGCATTCTGGAGCCTGGAGTTTCGATCAAGCCTGGAACATCGGTTCTCGATCGTCGCTCTTCGATCGGCCATCCAGCGTCGAACTTCGACGGATCGTGGCCGCTCGATCCTGGCTCCTCGATGTCCGAACGGCCCTGGATCCTCGACCCTCGATCTCCGACCCTCAATCGCTAGGTGGTTGTCGAACTTTGATCGGCCGTGGAACCCAAAGCCTCGTTTCCGATCGATATGGGTTCGCTCTTCCACAGTCGGTCCTGGGTCATCGATCGTGTATCCTCGATCATCGATCCTGGATCGTCGATTCTGGACCGTACATCCTGGGTCAACCGCGTCGCCCCAAAATGACCCTGGGATCGAACCTCCCACAGGGGGGCCTGCGACCCGACGCGACCTCAAGATGGCCTCAAGATGACTCCAAGACAAACCTGTGAACCGAACGATGCAACGGCCATCCCTGCGGACATCCGCCCAGGCGCAGATAGGACCGCGCGCGCGAGGCTGTGGCAACTGGAATCTGACTTGCACGGAGAGCATGCGACACGGAACAATCCAATACTGTGATGATAAGAGGAGAGAGTGGGAAGAGGAATAGGTCCGCGGCGTCTGTGTGAGCGTACATGAGACCAGAAACTCGAATGTCAGGAAGTCTCAAGCGAAATCGTCGTTTTCTGGTGGCATGAGATGCGACAAAAAGTAATGTGTGAGGAAGTCCCACGCGAAATCGCCACTGTCTGGCGGCCTCAAAAGGGACCGGAATATTTTTTTGAGGAAGTCCCACGCGGAATCGCCACTTTCCGGTGGCATGGCAGAATTTCCGGTCGCCCTGGAAGGCGACCGGAAACTTTTTTTGAGGAAGTCCTAGGCAGAATCCCACTTTCCGGTCGGAGCCCCATTTGGCCTTTATAATATTAAAAGGGATGATGGAGGCACCGGAAACTCCGGAATTGGCAACAAATCCAACATTGTCCCGGGGCCCCGCTGCCTAACGGGAGGCAAACCACGTCTACCTCGGCCCCTGCGGTCTCCACGTTTTAATCCAGGGGGTTGTAAAACCAGCAGCGTCCTTGCCCAAGCCGCCCTTGGAGCAGGACTTGGCCTTCGCGTAGAACAACCCCAGCTTGGCTGGATCCGCAGGCTAGTGGCAGCAGCCTGTTACGAAGTCCCCGAAGCCGAGACAGCGCCAGGTATTCCGACGTCTGGCGTATTATTGTCCTCGCGAATGCTCGAGCACTTTTCGCTGAGTTGTCTGAAATGGTCCAGGGTAGCCTGCTACACATCTGGAAGAGCAACCTTGCGCCTGTGCACGTTTCCCCTTTTACACCTTGCTGACCTCGGCCTCATTCAAACCGTTAGGCCCGAAGCGGCCGTTGTCGTCGAATTCGATAACGTTGCCGCAACTTGCCTGCGAGCACATCCTTCAGGACTATATCGGGCACAAAAGGGGCACCTGCAAAAACAACTTCTCCGTGCAGGCGCGAGATTGCGTCCGTGTAGATCTTGTGACACTTATCACGGGCGGTTGGCCTCAGCAGCGTCGTCGATGTAGGACATGGTGGCCTGCAACTCTTTGGACGGTAGCTGCTCGACGGTGTACTTGGGCCCAGTGCCACCCCCTGACGCCACAGCCCAGCACGGCTGCTGAGGTTGAAGGCCCACGGGAAGCGAAGTTTGACTACATCCCCAAGACGAATGTGTTTTCCTCTTGGGCCCGATACGACGGCTGGAAATCTGGAGCTGGCGCGTATGAGATAACCGCCATCGGGTCCCTGAAGTTCGCGCGGATCCCATTTTGGTCTTGGCTTTTGCTTCGGTGGATCCGATTTCCGTCCGTGCGGATCCGATGTCGGATTTTCTGGATCCGCGCCCAATCTTCGTTGTTTACTGCGGATCCGATTTCTACCCCGCTTGTGATTTATATTATTGAATTAAGATCGGGAACCGGAAGACATCGGACCCGCGGACCCCAGAACCCGCCCGTGTTAAAATAATACGTGGGAAAGGGAGTTCGGTCATTAACTTCCGAAGATGGATCCTCAACTCAACACCTCAAGAGGAAAATCCTTCGTCCTGCGGAAGTAGCATCAGGACGGCCAGAAAGAGGAGACGGCAACGTCAGCAGCGATCCCCAGGCTCCTGGTGGCTTGTGCCAGCCATTGGCATGCACTTCTTTCCCACTCAATCCGCAGTGCTTGCGCCACTGTCATCACCCTTCGTCTCTAGAACGTCCGCACAGGATGCATTCCAATTTCGTGAGGCTGGGCCCAGAAGCCCACTTCCACGACACGCATCTGCGCCCCATGAAGTGGCAGGAGCGGTCCTCGCACAGTGGTGCAAGGAATCGGGCACGCAGAGGAGAAAGGCCCTTCGGACTGATTTCGCTCAGCCGCATTTGGTTGATGCAACCTGGCGGGCTGAGAATCCGAGAAATTGCTAATCTGGCCAGCTGCCTCGAGATAGCAACTTGAGCCAAAATGGCTCGAGCCAAAATAGCTGCGGACCTACTTTCTCCTAATCCACCTTCTCCTCCTCCTCCTCCTCCTTCTCCTTGGCCTCCTCCTCCTCCTCCTCCTCCTCCTCCTCCTCCTCCTCCTACTCCTCCGTCTCCTCCTCATCCTCCCCTTCCTCTTCCTCCTCCCCATCCACCTCCCCCTCCTCCTATCCGTCTTCATCATGCTCCCCCTCATCCTCCTCCTCCTGTCCTCCTCCTCCTCCTCCTCCTCCTCCTCCTCATTGTTATTGTTCCTCCTCCTCCTCCTCCTCCTCCTCCTCATCATCCGCCTCCGACTCCCCTTTCCCTCCCCCTCCCCTCCTTCTCCTGGTCATCCTTCCCCCTCCTACTCCCAAACCGTCGACGCTCTGACTCTGCTCAACACATCGGGTTCTGAAGCTCTCGATCTCCGCATTTGGCACGGGCGTAGTGGGCATGTCTTGTCAACTGGCGCCAGCAAAGAGCCTCTGCAGTCTTTCGAGGCCCACGCCCAGACTCGGAAGAATTCCACTGTTGTCGAAAGGCGCGATGAGGTGTCCTTGGCCGAGAGGTGCCCCGTGGGTTTCCCGTGAGGCCAAAAAGGTCTCCAGAGCGCCCCTCACGAGTCCCAGAAGGCCTCAGGCGATCATGTTCCCTGAGATCCGACGCCACGAAGCATTGCTGCACCGCGAAAAATCACGACCAGAGCCCTTCACCTCATCTTTCTGAGCCATTTTTCGAGCCAAGTCGATCTGCGAGAGCCCCGGGGCCAGAAACTGGGCGAAAAGGCCCATTGCCCAAAAATTGCAACGCCTGGATCTGAATGTTGTATTGAGGACGTCATGAGATTAAGTCCTCTGGCCGCAGACCATGCCAGAGAAGGCCCAGAAGACTCCTGGGACGACTCGGGGCCTCCGTGTGGAGCAACCTGGAGGCAGGCGAGCCGCAATTTCGCAACGGTGGTGGTGACTGTCCTTTTGCTCACACGCTACGCGCCCAGTCGTAAGATCCTGCTTCAGATGAGCGCAGCGAGGGCCCCCCTCCCTGGCCGCATCCCTCGCTCCGCCCTCCACCCCCTGCACATACTGCATTAAGACGAAGCCAGGACAGGGACAACATCGAACCAGAACAAAATCAGGGATCTCTGAGATCCAGCGGTTCCGCATCGGTCGCCGCGGCCTTCTCGGAGAGCTCTGGCACGCTCTGAAAGCGTTACGGGACGCTCTGAAACGATGTATTATTGTCCTAGCCCCCCCGCCCGATGCATCCTCACCTTTTGGCATCAAACAACGGTGTCCTGAGGGAGACGGTTACTTCAGCCTGGGCGCTTCCCCAGGACAAGTCTGCTTCACAGCGAATCCCTGGCCTAGACGCGCCAGTGACAACAACGCTGAAGGACGAGCAGGTGTCTTGCCAGCACCGCTGTGGGCCGTCCTCTGCGACACGAAAAACTGCGGAATATCCAAATCACCGTGCTTCAGCGGCGGGAAGGTGAGCATAAGGCTGAATGGACGAAGACGAAGGAGAAAGGGGAAGAGAGAACAGAGCCTGGTCGGGGCGTACCAGCAACCTTCGAGTTGCCGATATCAGTGGCGGCACCCGAAGGGGTTCATAAAGGCAATGCCAGAAACTCGAATTTCGCTCTCGCGCCAGCTCTGGTACGCTGCCGTTGCAAACTGAAATCGGGGGCAGCAGTGCAAGTCGAGCGGTCGATTACAGCATCGAAGCAGAGAGTGGTATAGAAAGCACTGACACATCATTGGTAATTGTATCGCAGAGTGAATGGCGCCGTCTAAACACGCATCTGCATATATATATATATATATATATATATATATATAAATGTATGCATGCATGCATGCATGCATGCATGCATGTATGTATGTATGTATGTGTATGTATGTATGTACGTATATCTATATAGCAAAAATGTGGATGTATATGGTTGTATGTATGGCACACACTTACATGCACACACCAGCACACAGACAGACAGACGCTTCGCCACATGTATGTATACATGTGTATGCACACTTGGAGCCCATGTCTCGACAAGCTTATGCCAGCTACACGCATGCGCACAGACCCGAGCATCCGAAGCACGAATTGGAAAGGTAGCGAGAACACGGACCGATCAGAGACAAATTAACGACACAGCTGAACCCGTGTAAATTTAATGCGATGCCGCACGAAGCAAAAAAACAGCGAAAGGACTGCAATGAAGTGTAGTGGCAGCGCAGCACGAAGCATTGCCTTGGTCAGCGGATGCGATGGCAACGCAGCGAAACGCAAAGCAACGCAAGCATTTGAAGGATAAAACGAGCAAATCAAATGCAAGGCAATGCAACGCACTTCAAGTCAAAGCAAAGTGGAGCAACGTAAAGCAATCAAATGTGGGGCACAAAGCAATGCAAATGCTATGCCAAAGCGGTACACTCCAGTTCAACACAAAACAATGCGAGGATCCCAAAATAGAAGGGCACCTAGGGAACTAGGAGATCGGAGAACGCATGGACGGGAAACGCGGGAGGGGAAAACAAAGAATCTGGGCTGGGGGCCGCGAGTGCCACCAGGGAAAGAGGGAGGGAGAAGAGAGGAACCAGATTGGAAGAGGGAAGAAGGAGAGGCGATGAGAAAGGGGAGAGGAAAAACGAGCAAGGAGCCAGACAGGGCGACAACGGAAGGAGGATGAATGGAGACAGCGTAAGTAGAAAGGCAGGATGCAGGAGCGAGAAGGAAGAAGAGAGGAGGGAGGACGGAGGAAGGATGGCGGGGAGGCGGGGGGCCAAGGAACAAAGACGGAACGGGCGCGCGGGCGCGCGGGCGCGCGGGTGCGCGGGTGCGTGGGCGTGCGGGTGTGCAGGCGCGCGGGTGCGCGGGTGTGCGTGCGTGCGTGCGTGACTGCGTGTGCCTGTGTGCGTGTGTGCGTGTGTGCGCGTGTGCGCGTGTGCGCCTGTGAATATGTGCGCGTGTGCGCGTATGCGTGTGTGGGTGTGCGCGGGTGTGCGTGTGTGCGTGCGTGCGTGCGTGCGTGCGTGTGTGGGTGTGCGTGCGTGTGTACGCGCGTGCGCGTGTAAGTGTGTGCGTGTGTGCGCGTGCGCATGTGAACGCGAATGTGCGTACGTGCGTGCGCGCGCGCGTGTGCGTGCGTGCGTGCGTGCGTGTGTGCACGTGTGCCCGTGTGCGCGTGTGCGCGCGTGCGCGTTCACGCGTGTGCGCGTGCGTGCGCGCGTGCGAATGTGTTTGCGTGCGCGCGCGCTCTCATCCCATCCGAACAGCGGCTGCTAAGACAGGGGACGCCAGTTTGTGGGACATGCTTTGGTAAAATTAGCACGTGCTTTGCATGCAGGGGTCTTCGATGGGCATGTCCCCCGATTTACACCAAATCCTCCCGCGGCGTCTCGCAGCGCGCCATTGCCAAGGAGGTAGCGCACATCAGGAGGAAACAGCTCTTTTACGAAGATGCTCGCAGGCTTCTGATGAGGCCACGCGTGGACTGCGGCCTGGCCACGGCGGCAGAATGCAAAGGCTGCCAGGCCATCAGGAGGATGCCTAGTGAAGCATGGCTTCCTGGACAACGCACACCGCTGTGCGTCATGTGCAACGCGAAGGAGGGCGAATGCAATTTCTGCCGTGGCTCACTTCGCTCTCGCCCACGCCCCCCACCCATGCTTCGGCCAGTCGATATTTCCCGGAAGAAGGGGGGCGAGGCCGACAGGACGTTAGAGGGCGACATCGCCCTGCGCACGGCGGCGCGAGCTGATCCGAGGCTACGAATTGCCACCACTCGCGCTCTGCAAAATAAACGATTTGAGGGCTACCCTTACCCATGTTTGGCGCGGTGAAGCTGGCGGGGGCGCCCCCCTCGCTCCGCCCTGCTCTTCCTCGCGCGTCACTGCACGTCCTCGCCGGGGCCCCTTGCGACGCCGCGACGCCGCGCGTCGCCGCTCTCTGCTCTCGCCCCCACTCCGCACGATGACCGCTGGAGTGGTGGGCTTATCCTTCGCGCCCTACAGTTGCCTCGCGGCCCGCCCCGCGGCGCCGGCGGCGGGCCCCGCCGCACCTGCGCCTCGTTGTCTTAGGCGGCGAGGACCTTTTTGGCCACCCTACTGGCCAGCACCTCGGGCGAAGTTTTCTTGGCACTCGGCCGCGTCTCGCCTGGCCTACACCGTCCATGATTTTACCCTAGCTGCTGGCTTCCTCGCGCTCCACTCGGCTGCGCGAGGTAATCTCCTCGCGCCACCTTGCGTCGCCATTTTCTGCTCGCGCCCTGGACCCGGCGCTGGCCCTATCGCCTCGCCGCCTGCAACCCGGCATGGGCGCGGGTCGGCCCGGTCGCGGCAAGCCTCCGAGGCGTCGCGCGCGCCCCTGGTCTTCGGGGCATGCCTTCACGGTGCTCGGCCACGCTCCTGGCTCTGTTGCGCCCCACTCGGTTGCGCGAGGCAGTCTCCTCGCGCCACCTCGCGAGGTAGCGCCTTTTCTCCGTCTGCCCCCTGGGCCCGGCGTCGGCCCCACTGCCTCGCTGCCGGCGCCCCGACGCGAATTGCGGGCCCGCTCGGCCGCGGCCCGCTTCCCGTCTTTGCGCGATCCCGAGGTCTCGCCCTGGGGGTGCTTGCTTCAGCCTCGCGCTGCGCCGTGCTGCTTTTTTGGCCAACTGCTATTTCCGCGACGCCTTAGGCCCTAGGCGGAAATATTTTGGCCGCCTGGCTGGATGGCACCTCCGGGGCACCTCGCGACACTCGAACGGGGGCTGCCTTGCCTGCGTCACCCATACGCTGCCCGACGCGCCGGTTTTCTCGCGCCCCTCTCGGGCGCGCGCGGCAATCCACGCGCGGGGGCCTTCGTGGTCGGCGCCTTGTTCCGTCTGTCAGCTGGGCCGCCGGCGGCCCTACCGCCTTGCTGCTTGCGCCCTGACACGGGGCGCGGGCCGGCGCGCCCGCGGCCTTTGAATCGCTCGCACCCCGGCGTCGCACCTGGGCGCGCGCGCCCGCAGCCGGGGCCGCAGTTCGCCACCCCTGCCGGGCTTTCAGCTGCATGCCAGCGCGCTATGCCAGCAGCTTTCCTCCGCAGTGATTCGTCGGCCCCCTACTCTCACGGTCGCGGAGGGCGCGCGGCCCTCGCCGCCGACAGTCGGTCGCGGGTCGGCCGCCTCGCGGGGTCGCCGGCCGTCGTCTCACCAGGTTCCCCCCTCGCTCCTGCTCCTGCTGCGTCTCCCTCCCTCTTGTTTCTTCTTCTTTCGGATCGCCCCCACCGCGGGGGTCTGTCCTCTCGTGTCTGAGCGTTGACGGATCTCGCCGGCGGCTTCGCTCTGCTCGTCTCCTCTTTTACTCTGGCACCAAATGTTTGCGGAGTGGCGCGACCTTCGCGGCGATGCGCACGGTCTTTTTGGGGCCGAGATGGCGTTCCCCATCTTGCCCTGCCTCGCTTCACCTGCCTCGCTGGTAGCCTTTCGCGGCTCTGGTTGCGGTTGGGGTTTGCCGTTTTAGCGCCGGCGTCTGCACCGCACGCTTGGCCATGATCGCGCCTGGAACACCACCCGCGCGCGCCGCCGCGCATCGCGGCTGCTGCTCGCGGCCGCCCGCGCACGGGATTGTTTTCGCTTGTCCAAGGCCAAGCCAGCCCCGGCCGCGCGATCGCCTCTATCACGCCGATCTCATGCACCCTGTTGCACGGTCGCTTGTTCGCGCAGTTCCCCCGCGCGCGTGCATCGCCACCTGGTTGGCTGGTCTGGTGGCAGTATAATTTGTTATGTTTCGTTGCTGTCTCCTTGAAACTTCAATATGACAACGCTGCCGCCCGCGCCCCATTCAAACAGCCCGCGTCGAGCTTGCTTTCCTCGGCGCTGCACCTTGGCATGATAGCGCCTCTCGCCTGTCGCCGCCATTCTGCACGGCTGTGACTGGGCTCTTGCATCATGGCGCGTTAGACTAGGTTCGTTCGCCATTGGCCCCCAGCCTGCCGACCGCGCCTGAGGCCCGCCTGCACAGCCGACTAGTAAAAAGCACGCGCACGTGCGCGCGCACGCGCGAATGCGAGCGCGCTTGCACGCGCGCGCGCCCGCGCGTTCGCGCGCCTGTGCGCGCGCGCGTGCGCATGTGCGCGAGCAAGCGCGCGACCGCGTGCGCGCGTGCGCACGTACTCTTATGGCCGCGCGTGTGTGCGCGCGCGTGTGCAAGTGTGCGCATGCGTGCATTCGCGAGAGCGTGCGCGCTGCGCGCGCGCGCGCCCGCGAGCGCGCGGGGGCGTGCACGTGCGCGCACGTGCGTGCGCGCGCGTGCGCCTGCGTGCGCGCGTGCGCGTGCGCACGCGTGGCCGAGTCCGTGCGTGCGTGTGCGGGCACGCACGTGCGCGCGCGCGTGTGCGTGTGCGCGTGCGCGCGCGTGCGTGTGCGAGTGTGCCTGTGCGTGCGTGTGCATATGCGTGCGCGCGCGTGCGCGTGCGCGCGCGTGCGCGCGCGCGTTGGCGTGTGTGCGTGTGTGCGCGTGTGCGTGCGTGCGCGCGTGCGCGTGCATGTGCGTGTGCGCGTGTCTGTGCGTAGGTGCGCGCGCGTGCGTGCGCGTGCGCGTGTGTGCATGTGCACGTGTGTGCGTGCGTGCGTGTGCGCGCGCGTGCGCGTCTGTGCGGGTGCGTGCGTTTGCGTGCGCATGCGCGTGCGTGCGTGCGCGCGCACGCGTGCGCATGCGCGCGCGTGCGTATGTGCGCGTGTGCGCGCGTGCGCGTGTCTGTGCGTGCGAGTGCGCGCGTGTGC